AAACCGACGTTTTCTGGTGACAGCTCAAATGCTGTACAGGAGAGGTTAACCTTTATTAGCTTTTACAAGGTGATTCCGGATACTATTAACATAATCTAATTTGCATACGGTATACTGCGACACGCCCAGCGTGTTATACTCCAGCATACCCCGCTTGTTTTGAATGGCTGCATCTGTAGTCTTAAGTTTGTGCTTGTGGACTGCCCTCTTCAATTCAGACCACAGGTTTTCAATAGGATTCAAGTCCAGAGACTGAGATGACCATTGCAAAACATTGTTTTTGTTTTCCTGCAACCATTTCTGTGTTGATTTTGATGTATGTTTGGGGTCATTGCCTTGTTAAAAGGTCCATCTATGGCCAATTCCAACCTCCTGGCAGAGGCAACCAGGTTTTGGAATTCATTATGCCATCAAACTTAACAAAAGCCTCTGGACCACTAGCAGCAAAACAGCCCCAAAGCATCAATGATTCACTACCATATTTTACTGTGGGTATAAGATGCTTTTCTGTGTATGCAGTCCTCTTTTGTCGCAAAACAAGCCAATAATGTGCATGGCCAAAAAGTTCAATTTTTGTTTGATCTAACCACAACTTACAATTCCAATTGTAGTTCAGTAAGGGCTACTTTCTTGCAACCCTTCCAAAGAGCTTGTTGACATGGAGGTGGCGTCTAATAGTTGATTTTGAAACTTGATAACCCAAAAATCCCACTAAACTGTGCAGTTCTGAATTTGTGATCCTTGGATTCTTCTTTGCTTACCTCACCGTCTTCCTCACTGTGCTGGGGGGCAATATGCACATGTGTCTTCTTCTTGGCAAATTTGCAACTGTTCCAGACTTCTGAAACTTTTTGATTAATGCCCTGACTGTGCTTAGTGGTATTTTCAACTAGGGCTGGGCAATAATTCAATAACAATAATTATCGTGATATAATTTTCCTTGATATAATTTTAACAAAAGTTCGATAAATGTTCGATATATATATATGTTTATGCTTTGCGCATGATATGTGTGTGCGTTTTGCAGACGGGGCAGCTAACATGGTGGTGTTTACCCACATGGTGGTGGCTAACAGGATTGTAGTTAGAGTGAAGAAATGAGCGACGCTGAAGCAAATGTAGTGCTGCCAATGACCAGCTCTAAGCACGATGACATCGTCGACAGAAAAGGTCACTCAACTTCGGTAATTTGGAGATATTTTGGCTTTTTATGATCAGACATCAAATAGAGCAGCGTGCACTGCAAACTCTGTCGCAGATCCGTGCCAGCAAAGACAGGCACAACCACGAACCTATTTCACCATTTAAAATAACATCACCCGTTAGAACATGCTGAAAGTAAAAAATTACAGATACAAACTAGTGTTGTTAGTGGAAGAGGACCATCTATAAGCACAAGGCCAGTATTCAGTGCGACTACACAGCAGCAAACCATAGTAGCATCATTCAAACACCGTGCCTTATGACAAAAAACAAAAAGACAAGACATCACAAATGCAGTTGCATATTGTATTGCAAAAGACATGCTTCCCATTAGCACTGTCGAAAATGAGGGATTCAAGAAGCTTATTAGAGTCCTTGACCCCAGATACGAGCTACCTGGTCGGAAACATTTTGCACTGACTGTACTTCCTCGGCTGTATGCAGAGTGTAGGGAGATGGTAGAGCGGCAGCTGCAAACGGTGCCATTCTTCGCCACTACTTCTGATATGATCCTTTAAAGCACTTTAAACTTTGCAGTCTGTCTGAGCCATCTTCTATGTGTGTTTTATCACACTGCAGTATTTAATTTTTCTATTAAGATTTTTATTTTGTAAATTTTACTCATGCAAATTGTGACATAAAAAAGACTTGAATACTCTCTACCTCAGATTTGTTTAATGTTTCTGCTGTTTGGCAAGTGTTTGTTGTGTTCTTAAAATAAAGAGTTGTTTAATTTACCAATTAACTTTCTGGTTTCTTCAACTTTCACTCAGGAGAAAAAATCTGCCTTTAAACTTGAAAGAAATAATGATTTTTATCGATAAAATTATCAATATCGACTGATGTGAAAATTTTTATCATGATAATGTTTTTGGCCATATTGCCCAGCCCTATTTTCAACTGTTTATGTATTTTTTATATCTGTTACCTGATCTGTGTAGGTCAACAACCGTCTGTCTCTTTTCAGCTGAAAGCTCTTTGGTTTTACCCATGGTTAGTTATGATGGGGATTTTACATGCATGCAGCCTCATATTTATACCCCAGGAAAACAGGAACTAGTGAAAGGCAGTAATACAGTTCTTGGATACTGAGACCAACTGAAAAGCATAGATTTTCATAACCGACGCCACTTTGTTTGGTTTTATTTCAAATATTCTTTAGGGATGCCCTAAGTTGACGCATAAGTTGAAGAGTGACTGCACTGTCTCTATTTTTACCATACATTTTATTTTTTAGTGTTTGTAACAATTTAATTGAGTGCAACAATACTAATAAGTATGTCCAGAATGAAGTAAAAGTACTTTAACTTAAGTAACCTGAATTTCATACTCAGTGTTTGTCACTTTAGGTTACAGGGTTCTGAATTTGCCCTTTATGAAGTTCCAAGCCAGCCTGCACTGGAGTGGTTCTCTCTCAAAGTACTAGGAGCCAGCAAACTGATGTTGAGTTTAATGCAATATTGTTCTAAAGCTTTTCTGTATCCTTTCAAATTTGTCATCTTCCAGTTGGTGGCTGTCACACCGGGTCAGTGAATGTATCAATCTGTTTTTTGTGAAGTTACTAACCAGTAGCTGATATTCATTGTATTTACTTTATAAAATGTATATGCACATAAAATATGTTATAGGAGAAATCATCTCTAATTGTCAGAAGTAATTTGTAGAGAATGATAACTCACTGGACCAGCTTTACATTTGTTTAAATAGAAAGTTAGTTAAATCAAAGGCAGTGGATTTTTATCTGAGAAAACAGAAAAGTCTTTATTGACAACGTCAAAAATAGTTGATAGTGACTTGATTGAAATTAAAAGTAATAAAAAATGTATTTTCATTTACTTTATATTGCAGTGTTTACAGTAACTTGTCTGATTTTTTTTTCTTCATATGCCAGTATATCAATTAATATTAATATTTTCTTTTACATATGAAGTAGGGGGCTGGGGGATGGGGTTTGACACTTATGTTTTTCAGTGTCTTAACTCTGATGTGTTCAGATTGGCTTTACAGCACCTGAACTGGAAAGAATTCATTATTCTAAATGTGGTCCTATCTGGAGTGCTCAGCAGATTGTGGTAAGTACTCATAAGGTGATGTGTTATTCAGCGTGACACACTCAAAATCTGACGTTTTGATGGCTGAACAATATTTGTAGTTTGTAACTACCATAAGAGTTTGTCAAGTGGGTATTTTTAAAATACACATCAATACACATCCAACATGAAATTGGTCAAATGTCAGTCATTCATGGGTTTACAAACTACATTACATAACAAACTATTAAAACAATAAAGCCCATCATTAATAATGTTTTTTTACCAGATGCCCTTATTCTGAATGATTTTACTTTCAAACAGTCCATAATTGGATTGTTGTATTGTTTGAATAAATGTGTTATTGTTAAATGTACATTTTAAGATTGATGTTACTTTAACTGTAGGAAATAATGTTTAATAGGGAGAGTCAGTGACCTAAGAACTTTCATTCACTTTCTCCATAATACCTATCTAAATATAGTACTTGATTCATCAGTGCTGGTCTCATACAGGAAAGGAAACTAACTTTGTATACAGTCAGCGGTGTTCTTTGCTTTATACAGTTGTATGCAAATGTTTGGGCACCCCTGGCCAAATTACATGTTTTGTTGATTTTCTAAGTGAAAAGAAGTTAATGTAACCTCTGCTGCGAACAAACTTAAACTTGACATATTTCTGCAAATGTTAATGCACAGTTACTATTTATTTGCTGAATTTAACAAATTGAAACAAATAAATGAGTAAATAAGCCCTGTGCAAAAGTCTGGGCACTCTATCATTCAGTACTTAGTAACACCCCCTTTGGTAGAAATCGTAGCCTCCGAATGTTTCTTGTAGCCAGCTAACAGTCTTGCATGCACTGCATGTTTGAGATCTACTCAAAGATTTTCAATAATATTCAAGTCTGAGGACTGTAAAGGCCATTCCAAAACCTTAATCTTTCGTTTCTTGAAGTAGTTCATGGTTTATTTTTTAAGTATGTTTTGGATCATTTTCAGCTTCAGTTTTCTCACTGACTGTTGGACATTAGTTTCCAGGATTTGTTGGTACTTAGTAGAATCCATTTTTACCTCTACCCACACAATATTTCCAGTGCCACACAACCCCAAAGCATAATGGATCCAACCCCAGTTGGCAAGGTGTTCTTTTTTTCAAATGCTTCTCCTTTTTTTTCCCCTAAACGTACCTTTGGTGATTTTTGCCAACAAGTTCAATTTTTACTTCATCAGACTACAGCACTTGGTTCCAAAACATCTCTGGCTTGTCTTTGTGTTTTTGCATACTTCAGATGTTGATGTTTGTGATGAGATTGCAGGTAAAGTTTCCTTCTGATGATTGATAATTCCATACAGATCATGTGGTGCAAGCAACGCTGCACAGTAGAATGGTGCACCTAAACTGCTAGCTAAACCTTCCTGCAGGTCCTTTGCAGTAATTTGGAGGTTTTGTTTTGCATTCCTGACCGGCCTACGAGCAGTTCTTTCTGAGATTTGTCTTGGTTTTCCAGATCTTGTCTTGACTTAAACAGTTCCCCTCAACTTCCATTTCTTAATGACATTTCAGACAGTGGAAATTGCAAGCAGGAAGCGTTTAGATATCTTTTTATAGCCTTCCCCTGCTTTGTAAGAGTGAATCATCTTTATTTTCTGATCCTCAGTCAGAAAGCTTAGAGGAGCCCATGGTTGTTGTGTGTAAGCACAACACCCTGAAAGGTTTGAAAATTCAGAGAATTTATGAAGCTCAGGAATTGTCATTACCTGACTTAGATTAAGGCCTAACGAGTCAAGTTCTGAGACCTTACAAAAAAATAACACTAGTGGATCAAACTTTTGCACATGCCACATTTAATGTTTTATTTTTCAATCTGTTAAATTTAGCAAATTAACAGTAATTGTCTATTTGTATTTGCAGAAATATGTCAAGTTTAAGTTTGTTCGCTGTAGAGGTTGTGGTAACTTCTTTTCACTTAGAAAATCAACAAAACATGCAATTTGGCCAGGGGTGCCCAAACGTTTGCATAAAACTATGCTTTTGAAAAAAGGAATGCAGATGCAATGGATAGCTTCAAGATTGTATATACAGTATTTGACATGGAAGCAGTTCTTTAAATATTCATGGGAGTAGTTTTATTTTAACTGTTGGAATTATTACTATGTATTTACTACAGATTTTTATTTGTAATTTCCATTTTATCTGTTTCATTATATTATCTCTTTATTGTGGGTTTGTTCAAGGAACAGAAACTGTGTCCCAGAAACACTCTTTATAGAGTTGAAAGAGGAAATTGTGTTGTTAGTTATGCTGTAAGCCTTATTTTTCCTTGTATTTGAAGACTTTCTTAACCTGTCTGCTGTAAATCAGCTTAGGGATCTGTATTCAGAAGCTTCACATTTAAAACACTAAGAAATAAATACCCACTAAGAAGCAGAAATAAATTAAGCAAAGCAAAAATTACGGGGGATATGAATTTATTTTAGGCCATATTTTGTAGTTTTGTGTTTGTGGGATTATCCTTTTATACTTTTTTTTAAATTTTGATTAATACCATGTTTGATTAATGTCAATGGTACAGTTCTCAAAAATGACATTTTATTTTTTTCAGGGTGTTTTCCAGAGGCATATTGAAAACCTTGGTGTGTCTTTATGAGAAGATGTTTCCTTTTCTGCAAGATGTGTCAAAGGTGCAAAACCTGACTTTCTTGAAGGACTTTGCACTTCCTGCTGACATTAAAAACTTTTTGGGCCCTAGCTATTTTGAAATGCTCCAGAAGGAGCTGCCTAAAGTACCACTTGTCAAGGGGGTGCAAGTCCCTGCCAGGTCTGCTCTTTTGAACAGATTTTCTTCTGGATTTGAACAGAAAAAAGAGAGGACTGAGCCCCCAAAAGTGGAATCAATAAACCAAAAGAGCACTTCAGAACAAGAGAAAAGTTTTGATTTGGGCATCCCTGTGTCAGAAAAACGATCTGAGGGTTTGGGTGAGTTTTAAGTTTTTTTATCTGGGAGGGAATTCGTGACACTGAGATCACAATGCTCAGAATTGGAGAAGCTACATTTGTTTTGGCTTATTAGAAGGGTTTGGGAAGCAATGAAAGAAATTCTGGGAATAGAGGAATAAACGTTTTCAAGTATGTCTTCAGTTGTAACTTAATTTTAATTGACCCAAGTTCTAAGCAATTGTAAATATTTTTTAATTAAAGTAGAGTTTTCATGAACTACACAAATAAACACTATATACTCATCACCACTAATGATTTCCTCTCATCTTGTGAATTAAAAATTGTATAGTAATTTCATCTACCTATAATAATATGACCCAACTACTTTGTAGAAATTTGATCTTTCTGTAATGGTTGAATTGTAGACATCAGGCTTTCTTATTAAATCCTTTGAAACCAGATTGATGATTATGGTAGAATAACCTGATAATGGGGAAAGGTAATTTAATTGTAAATTAAGTGGAAGCCTTTATGTCTGTTATGGATTTCAACATCGTTCTATTCTGCTCACCCTTATACAATACACATTAGAGTTTACATATCCATCAGGTAATGTGCAGTGTATTTCTACCTCTGAGGTTCCCACCCCTGATCCTGGAGAGTCTCAATCTAGCAGGGTTTATGGTTCATCATTAAATTTCTAAAGACTTGCAATTATTTTGTTGTGATCAGTAAAGCAAATTTGTTGCATTACATAGTTGGAAATCATCTGGAACCAAACTCTTGATTACCCTTCAGCAGCTCAAGGGCCAGAGTTGTCTTAACTGAACAGATGACTTGATTAAATCATCAGTAATGTGCAAGTGTTCCCAGTCTTCATATACACGTAACCCCTTGTTCTGCAGTATAATCATGATAGTTCTAGCACACTTGTTAATGTAGTGCTAACAAATATGTTGGCTAATTAACACCATAAGCATCTTGTACTTACTCTATGTGTTTTATCTGATAAAGGTAACCTTCCTGGATTGGATGTGAAGGCTTTGTTTAAAAGACCTTGTGGTGCCACTAAGGTTTGTAGTGAAATTCCATTCAAGACTGACAGACCTGTTTTACAGTTTTCTTTTCCAATTTTCTGTTGGAATTTTCCCACTTTTGTTGTTGTATCTTGTTCAGCTATAGATGCATGCATACTAGCTCTCATCAGGTCCCAAATAAACTCACTTTGAAAATCAGAGCTGCTTAGGGATTTGGTAGGGGGATGGGTAGTTCTGCCATGGTATCAAAATTATATTTTCCAATTGCAGAACCATTCTGAACCGATTTTACAAATTTTGAAATTTCAATATCCTTGATGAGATTGAAACTATTGTAGAACATTAGTAGCACTTAATTGTAATTCTGGTGCATCTCTATTGTGGTTTAAACACCATTAAGTGTCTGTAACACTGATATTCACTTCTGGCCCTGGAAGGCTGACATCTTTTCTGGTTTTCATTCCACTGGACACTTAATGACTTGGTTTGAATCAGTTGTTCACTCCATAGGTCTGTATAATCACTGTGTCTAAGCATTCATTGAAAATTATATTTTCTATAAATCCTGTGGTCTTCCAGCCACATGTGTGAATATTACTGGCCTGCAACATATTTGAAATTAGATGGAATAAGTACCTTATGCTCCTATAATTATAAACAGAATTAACTAAATTTGTTTATATGTGTTTACCTGTACTTTAAACAAAAGTTAATAATCCACTAGTGCATTTTATTAACTGAAATACTTTTAAAAGGTATTACATTCACTAATATTTACAGAAACAATTTGAATTACTAAATTTAGTTTAATTTGGAGAAATAGGTCTATTAGCTGCTAGCTGCTATGGAAGATTCCCCACTTTTGGTAGACTGGTCCAGGGTACAGTTGCATATAAAAGGCTCTAAATACGACTGTATTTAAAAGTCCTATATTTTGGCTTTTTTAAAGTTAACAATACATAAGAGTTCTTAAAAATACAAAATGTCTTAAATAGACTAAGTGAATAATTGCTTTAAAGTTTTGCTTCCACCACCCCTTTACTGCTACTTACTCTTCAGACCTACTCCCTACACCCTAATTAAACTCATATTACAGTCTGCACCTTCCAAATAATTATTCAATAATACAGTTGACTTGTACACACCTGGTGCTACTGTTAAAAATATTTTTAGTGTCCCCTTGTGGAAAGTCTGTTGTTGCAGTCCTTCTAAGGGACAGCCTGTCCAGTTTTGCATCCTTGGCCGCTGTGAACAGGCCTTTTCATTTTCACTGCTCTTTTTTTTTTTAAATTACAGCTGCATGAATTTTTTGGTGGCAATTTCAAACAGTCATGTATTCATAAATCCATTCTCAATAACCATCCAATACAGGGTGGTGCTTCCCTGACTGTGGGTATAGAAACAACCCAGAAATACTTTTTGTTTTTCAACAAAGGTGACTGAAGGTGATTGCCATGTGCTTCCCAAATGTTTGATGAAGTGTCAAAGGGCTTCCCTGCTGGAAGAATCTTTGTTTTGTAAGAAGGAATCCTTTGTCTGCCATATAAAAGGGGTGGCCTCCTTCAGTGATCTGACTGCAAGTATTAAGGAAGTACTTGAGTGGTGCAAAGGACAGAGACTGCAGTGGGAATCCAGATGGCTGAGCTACCAGCATCTGAAGTGCCAAAGACTAAAACACATGGAAGCAAAGGGTTACCGGTAAAGTTAATTTCAAATAAACATTATGTGTTTATTAATAATGATTGAGTAAACTGTATATGAACACTTTTTGTGGTACTTTTTATTTTTTAAAGAAACCAATTCTCCAAAATCATAATGCTTTTACTGCAGTCTGTATCAGCTGCCTGGCTAGAGCAGTTGGCTCTTGTGTAAGGTAGTAATAGCTTGATATTTTTGTCAAATATGTTCAGATATTGTTTGCTGCAAAGTTATGCAATATCAGTGGTGCTTATAAACCATCTATTTTCTAACTGCAATGCAATTTTTGCAAGGGAGCTAGAGTCTACTCTGGAAAGCAGTAGGTGCAAGGCTGGATGAACTCTACTTGAAGCCAGTCCATTGCAGGGCTTACACAGAAACAAACATGCACACACTCACACCAGGGCCAATTTTTTACAGAAGCCGGTTCACCTACCAGTATGTTTTTGGACTGTGTAAGGAAACCAGAGCACCCATAGGAAACCCACACAAACATGGGGAAAACATACAAACCTCCTTTTCGATAGCATTGTAGGAATTGAACCCGGGCAGCAGTGTTAAACACTGCACTACTGTGTCTTGATATTTCCGATAGTTGCCTATAACTGAAAGAAATTACATATCGAAGACTGTGTTATGGTGCCAGAGAAGTAAGAGCTTGTTTTTTAAAGTTTACAATTACAAGTGTTAACATTTACAGATGTTAATTGTGGCATGTGTGACTCAGTGTTTAGATGACAAAGGGTTGTATTATTAATTCCTTGATTAATTGTTTAATGTTTGGAATCATCCAAAAAAATCATCCCATTCAAAAATTTCCATACGTGGTGTGATATGTTCGTGATGTTTGTATGGTCTCCCTATGTTTTCATGGGTTTCCTCCTATGATCCAAAATCATACTAGTAGGTTAATTGGCTTCTGGGAAAATTGGCCCTGTTGTGACTGCATGTGTGTCCTGTTATTAACTGACATCCCATCCTGAGTGTACCCTAACTTCTGCCCATTGCTTGTGGGGCTACGCTCGGACTCTCTTGCAAACCTGAATTGTAAGAAGGGGTTAGAAAATGGATGGGTATGTTCACATAATTCTGTGGGAGTCTTTTAAACATTGTTAGTTTATTGCAGGATTTTTTCCCTAAATGCCAACATGAGCTCCTTTATAATGAGGTTGTGGGTAGTAACACCGTAATAGTATACCTTACTACAGTATTTCTCCCTCCTATCAGTGAGTATGTCGTATTAGTCTTGCCCAGTTAGAGTAAGATAAACTAGGTTATTTCTCAATACATTTTTGCTACATAAATTTGTCCATTTGTTTTTGTTTGGTTATTGCACAATTTTGTTTTGTTCCTATTATGTTCAACCTAAAATACCTTGTTTTAGGTGATTAAAGGCGATATCGTGAATTGGGCACCATTTTTTCATTAAGCTAACAAGAACCTCAATGGGGAAAGAGGGGAGATAAAAAGTAAATTGTTGATGGGATTAATGAAGTTCATTTCTGGTGTAGTTTTCACCAACTAACCCTTAGCTCTTTAAGTAAAATATTTTTTTTTTTTTTTGTCTCCTGTTAGTTTCAGCCGCAAGCTTAATTGCTACAGAAAACAGACCTGCAGAATCCTAATCCCAGGAGAGAGTGCTATGAGGAAGTATTCTACTTCAAATACAAAATGGAGTGTTCGAAGTCTGCAGTCTAAGTTCCAGATGAAGTGGAAATCATCCAGGCAACATTCCAAAACTAAAATGGACTTAACTCTTGTAAACCCAAAGGACACGACAAAAAATACAGTTTCAAATAGCAGCACGGAACAGGAAGATATTGATAGCATTTTTGCATCCATAGGCTTATAGCTGTACAGATATTCTAAAGATGAAATATTTAGGGATTCATTTTATATTCAAATACTGAACTAAATATTTTAGATCTAACAAATGGAATGATATGGAAAAACCGTAGTCTCTTAAATTGTGTAGTATGTGAGCACATTGTGGGGGAAAAAGAGGTGTCAAGC